TGGCCGAGTGGTTCTGATGCTCATCGTGGCGCGTTTGGGGCCAAGCGCTACTCTCCAACAGTGTCCGGCAGTCGACAAGAACACCCTATGGAATGCCATAGCCACGTTATTCTCGAGATTGCAAGGAGATATGCTCGGTCAGTATTCTGCGTCATTCAGGAAAAAGACGGAAAAAAAACGAATCGAATGCTAGAAACAATGGGATGTATACAACAAAAATTATGATGACAGGTCGTATAAATAGATAAATAAGTAAGCAATAATAACGAGATATTAAGTCATAGAACGGATTTCCTTCTGTAATTCTGTGGGTATTTTTCTTTAATCTCCACTTGTACTTTACTGTGAGCGTTACCCGTACTGTTGCAACCTTCACTAATCAATAAGCCGGCTGATTCCGAGTGTTCTGCGTAAGTTTTAGTTGATTGCGCTCAAGGCAATTTACAGTTGCGCCCGCGAGTCCCAACCTCTCAAAACAACTTTAATGTCACCACCACGTGACCGGTAGTTGTGGCCGTTCACCACTAAACCACACACGTGGTCCAACCAGCTGATTCTAATGGGTTTACTATTCCCCCACTTTCATCACTTGGATACACAAACTGTTAAAATCTCGAATTATTTATGGTTCATCAGTCCGGCGAAGAGAAGTTGGAAACGTTTGCGTTACGAAAGAACTCTGTAGGAAGACTTACAGGCGTCTTTAGGAGAACTAGGTAGTATTCCATATTTGGCGTTCGTTCATTGTTGTCACTCGGCACTCAATGTCTTCGGAGATGCGCCTTCCAAAGTGGTGGTTGACTAAAGAAATAGCAAGTCGCTCTGATCTTCTTGAGCTCCGAAGAGGGGAAAACCTTTGAAAATTCCAGCCAGTATGATGTCATACATTGTAGAAAACATTGTGCTTTGGATTTACACCCTGCAAGAATTTGGAAGCAAATGTTTGAAAAAGAAACAGTTGAAACTACGTTGTTATTCCGAGGGCGAAGCATCTCTATTTATAGCAGGAATTTTTTGGACAAACGTTCCTTTTACTCAAAATGCGCTTGTCGAAGTACCTTTGATAAGAATCCATTTATTTATGCAATAGAGCTTCTCTAGGATCAAAATTATGATAAAAAAATTGATAAGAGAATAGCCCAAACAAAAAGAAAAGCTATAAATGCAAGGACGAAAACGATCTAGTCAAAATCGAATTTCTGCACCGACAGGTCACATCTTTGTAAGGGAGCAGACCTTATGAATGAGGTCGAGTCTGTCGTCGGCGGTATCACTCGAGCTGAGAAGTGCTGTTCGCCGTAGTTGTTCAGTGGTAATTCACACAAAGGGTTAACCTAAGCAAAAGTCCCTTCGTGTAAGGTCGACAACCATTTCCAATGAGGCAAACCTCTTCCAGCAATCCAGAGCAACTGCGTATGTGGTGTGACAGTCGAATAATGTTCTAGCAAGAGACTATCTCAAGATTCGTGCATAAAAAAACGTTGGAGGCAATGATTAAGGTTTTGGTTGAACTGGCCAATGACACAAATCTGTCACGGGATCCGACGGTACGAAACAAGAGTCAATGAAGTCGATCATATCTTGGATGGATAGACAATCAACTGTAACAAATTTAGGGAAAAAGCAACAAGGACATTATGACAACCCACCGTATGGAGTTTTTTCTTTGCAATGATGTGCAATAATATAGTATTCAAAAACAAAACTTAGATATACACTAGAACAAATTCTTCATTTCTGAACAGTCTAGTTTATCAAAGAAGGTTTTCAGAAACCATATTCACCAGAAGACGGAGATGACTTTAATGAGGTATTCAAGCAGGCAAGTACGCAGTGTACGAACCGTACAACTCAAATTTGGGTAATTAAACCTTCATAATAATAATTATAATAGTTCCTTTCATTATTATTTGAGCCAACATGTCATGTGGTCTGGTAAAGGCTCTTGTACAGCCCGAGACACGTGTTTCGTCCTTACAGACTCATCAGCCGGGCAGAACCCGTCGTCTGTCGATCTTTTCATAGTCAGTTCTCTTGGGAGCGTCACACTCCTCATATATAGTTATCGACGACCTACGTTTTACACTCTATGCCAGGTGTCTATGTCATTCACCTAACACAGAGTGTTTTCGCACTCGATTGCTAGCTGGCTGGTATTTTATCATATTATACCTTTCCTTCGAGTGCTTTATTAAGACCACGCTCAAATTTCAACAGATCCTTTCATTATTATTTGAGCCAACATGTCATGTGGTCTAGTAAAGGCTCTTGTACAGTCCGAGACACGTGTTTCGTCCTTACAGACTCATCAGCCGGGCAGAACCCGTCGTCTGTCGATCTTTTCATAGTAGGAAAGGTATAATATGATAAAATACCAGCCAGCTAGCAATCGAGTGCGAAAACACTCTGTGTTAGGTGAATGACATAGACACCTGGCATAGAGTGTAAAACGTAGGTCGTCGATAACTATATATGAGGAGTGTGACGCTCCCGAGAGAACTGACTATGAAAAGATCGACAGACGACGGGTTCTGCCCGGCTGATGAGTCTGTAAGGACGAAACACGTGTCTCGGGCTGTACAAGAGCCTTTACCAGACCACATGACATGTTGGCTCAAATAATAATGAAAGGATCTATTGAAATTTGAGCGTGGTCTTAATAAAGCACTCGAAGGAAAGGTATAATTATAATAGTTACAACACAAACAAACACTAACACCATAGCAACAGTGACATTAAAACAGAAATGTGCGCACAGCCCAAAATTGTATACAAAACCATGAATATTCTGCAAGATCTCTAACAATGACTCAATACACCAGTTTGTACGAACCGTTCAACTGAAAATACAAATGTCAAGTAAGCTGAGGTCTAACGTTTCGCGCACAACACAAATACGGCATTTAAAAGAACATGACTAAGTCATGTGTTAGGGATGAGAACGGTCACAGACATCCAACTATTAAATAACACATAGAGGCTTATCTTTACTACGTCTAACAAATTGTAGACCTGAAATGGATTAGAGAGTGGCCAGGCTTGATGACGCATTGTGAAGGCGAGACTTAACCTAACTGAGAGGATGAGAAATAGGACAACCTAGGCTGAATAGAAAATCAAGGCGGAAGGGAAGCGTGTTGGCAGTGTGAGCGCTCGATGGTCGACTGTCGCCGTTGACGGTCCGTCTCGAGGCGGCCGGTGCCGAGTCGACCGCTCGATTGGTTGGTCACGCCGAACGTAGTCTACCCTCGACACATCCACATGCACATCTCGGATCGTTCGTTATTAGCTTTTGGCCTTTCTGAGTACTTATGCAGGTGCTTGCTTCGTGTATGGTCGACGTATAAGTATTGAACTTGTTACTGCCTATCGAGTTATTGAGGTCAGGAAGTCGTGTAGTAGATCAAATAGAGACTAATCGATAGGAAAGTCTCTATACGCAACAGTCTTTTGTATATATCACCATTGAATTACTCCAGTTTATGTGTATCAAATGGTGCACATAACAGACCGTCTTGCACAGTATTCCTCTCTTCCACATATCCACCATCCCCGAAGGAGTTACAACATTTTACGAGTTGTTTCGGTTGCTCCTCGAGGCATTTGTTAATCACCAATTGACACATGTTAACTCGAGTGATATAATAACAATGTATACATAAATATACTGCTATTCTTATTTGCTTGCTCATCAAAACCATCTCCGTCTTCTGGTATATATGGTTTCTCAATGCCTCTTCTGATATATTAGACTGCTTGAAAAACAAGAATTTATAATTTTTCTTGTAGGTCTCGGTTTTATTTTTGAATGCTGAGATTATATTTTTAGGATATTCTGAATTTAATAATTTATAGTGATATGCAAAACTTTGGACCTCAGACGAGAATCGCACCCGTAATTCACCCTTCCAAAATTTCGATTATCTTACTTGGATACTTGGACGGTCCGTCTCCGCGAAATGTGCGTACTCCAGCACAATTTCCATTCGTATCTTCTTCTAACGATTGTCGTCCATAGTGGTGCCTTGATTCGAGTATGGAGGCCGATGAGAATTTTATACTGTGATCTGTAGAACGTCAGCAGGTGGGAATACAACTGGATAATTCTTCTTGTGAATACGTCTGCCCAGCGTGTACGTGGGCATGTGGTCGTCTTCAGGGCCTGGTGTATTCCCTTCATTCTACAATTCGTTTCGTCCAGTTTTGCTTATCTTTATGCTTTCTTGGATGTATTATAAAATAGTGTTGCCGCTAAAGGAGTGATCAGGCATGGAGTTCTTGTCAAGTACATATTCTAAATCTTTTATTGATTTGTTGATTCTTTTTCCATATGAGATTTTCAGAAGAACACTGCTTTGGTAAACATTGACTTCTAGTTGCTTTCTTGATGAGCGCAAACGAGGTGGTTATTTTGCTACTTATCTATAATGACCGGGGACGACTCCGGTATGGAGGAAACGTGCGTTCGACTCCCGCCTGAGGTCGTATTTTTGCTCACCACTCAATTCTCTTAAGTATATAAGAAACATCATAACACTGCGAAAAAGGCAGTGAAAACACTAGAAATTTCGATTATCTTCTGAGTGGAAGAGGTGATTAACATCAACTTTCTACAGAGTTGATTATATTATTTCTGCTCTAGTATGAGATTTTGTTAACCGACTAAAGAATAGTCAAGGCACTTGTAAAAGGTTAGAACTTATTGATGCTTAGGTGCATTGAAAGCGTATTTATTGAAAGAGTTTGAAAATTGGTCTCAGTTCGTCATCACCTTTAGAACGTGTAGACTAAGAGCGATTCTCCCACATTGATCTTCAGTTTTTGTCACATGAAAAAAATTCCAATCAATTCTCTAATTTTTGTTGAACATTGTCTGTGAGAATGTTTTAACCCTTACCGAGCTTGCTGCGTCAGAACCTTACGTAATTCCAGTTGTATCGTCCACTTCATCAGTGGCCTACGTCCATAGTTCACAGCAGAGATGGATGGCATCAAAATGGGCGTCAGTAGTGCAACGGTTCAGCATGCGCCCCGGGACAGGGTGAAATGTGGGTTCAAATCACATCTGACGCAAAAGTTTCGCTCACCACTCCACAACATAGGTTATATTGTAACATCATACCACCTTAAGAGGCGCAATTTCGGTAAGGTTACAAACTTCTCACAGACTATGTTAAATGTTTATGACAATTAAAAGCAGTCGATAATATAGGCTCTTCATTAAACTCACTAACTGAATTTTTCAAATATGAAAATTATTCCAGGAGGAAGACTAACGTCTTGGAGAAGCATTTGAGAGTGTCAATGATCTAACGAGGAGAACAAAGAGTACCCGAATTCGTGTCCACCTTTTCAACTCAACAATTCCCTTACCGTAGCATATACGTCAGAAACTTGGTCGCTACGTAAATAGGACGAAAGATCACTCAGCGTTATCGAGCACACACTCAAGAGGTTGGTGTAAGGAGTATATCGTATCTCGCAGATGAGAGAAAGGATCTGGAGTTCGACCTACACCAACAAGCGAAGATCAAAGGCGCCGTTCTACAGACCAGACTATCTAAAATAGGTGGACCGGGCGCGCAATGCGCTTCAACACATCTGATGAACGAGATCCGTTAGCGGCTGGGATCCTCGGAATGTCAAGCGCTCCATGGGAAGACCACCGACCCCATGGTGCGGCTTCTTTATGAAGAGCCTAGAAAGAACGACATAATGTTCAAAGAATTAATACAGAGAGCAGAACTCACTGGGTTAATCTTGCACGAGAAATGGATATTACAAGTTTCACTGGTGCCCTTCGAGTCACTTGGCGATCAAGTATGCGACAGGTGGTGTGGGTGATTCCAGGAAAAGTCGTTCTTTGTTGACACCCAGTCGGGATTTGGCGTAGTGGTATATATTATAGTCGGAAGACATTAATCAAAGGTATGGTGTGAAAGAGAACCGTTGTGAGCGTATAGTTGAACCCACCAAGTATCTCACTAAGTTTGGATTTGAACCTACCAGAAAATCGCCAAGTATCTATCTAATTTTAATACGACCTGACACCGATTATTCCATGCAGCTGAGCACTTCTTTCATTCGAAGCAGCTCTTTGCATTCATCATTTATGAGAGTATTTGGATTTGCTCGAGAGTACGACTGGTGCTGGAAATTTCTCGGTCTTCATTATAAATGTCATCGAATGCTGATCGAGGCAATCCTCGTTGGGTCTCCGGAAGATCCGTGACATAAACGTTCCCCAGGTCTTCACCATAAGCAGTAATTACCCTTTGTGGATTGAAAGACATCTGTTGCCTCCAGGAGGGATGAAAGAATCGGTTGGACCAGTGGGAGCGGAACTAGGACTCACCGCGTACCAATACATCATTGCTGCTGGGAAAGAAAACCACGCACTGAAATGAGAGACAGCGAGGAAACTGTATAGAAAATTATTTTAAGGATATGAATGGTGTGCATGTTTTATACAAAAAAAAGGCAGCAACAGGACACTGGTTTGATCATAAACTCTAACTTATGCTCAGAAAAATTATATCCTTCTTATCTTTTTTTCTATGAATTAGACAACATTTTTCTACTCAGCTATTATTCCAACGAGCTCATCAACGTTTATTCAGAGATGCCTCCTTAGATAAATCTAGAGCTTGTTTGATGTGTTATTTTACAATACAAATGATAATCAAAGTTTTCAACGTACACCTGTTACTCGCAAATAAAAAAAACAGCAAAAGAGAAAAGAACAAGTATCTGTAGGGGAATAAAGCGGCACAAATTGATCATTTGATTCGAACATTTATTCCTCTTCTTCCTCGTCTCCTTCCTCTTCACCTTCCTCTTCACCTAAAAGTTCGTTGTGAAGGGGAATGCTGTTGCAAGTGCTCAAAATTTTCATTATGACTTTTTGCATTATCCGTACTATTTCCAACATGTCATGGTCGTCGTTAACAAAATGACTTCTATACCTTCCTCCTCTGGTTCCGGTTCCTTCAGCTGGTGGTTTAGGTGCAGGTTCTCCTTTCGCCTCCTCTTCTTTTTTCTCAGCTGCTGGTTTCTTTGACCAGTCAGGCTTGTCCGTATTCTTTTTTGTCTATAAGCATTATTATAAATGAGTTAATAGATAAGTGGAATGGCAAATAATAAGAGACACTGCTTACCTTAGACATAATGTCTTGGATTGCATTCTCTTTCTTAACCACCTTGAGATTTGCTCGGAAGTCGGCCTTCTCGCCCTGAATTTGTGTAAGATCAAAATGAACATACGCCGTGGAGAGCTCGCTTTCTAAGTTTGGAACATTTTCAATAACATATTGGTTTTAAAAAAGTGGAAATTATTACCTAAAGTTATTACGCAGACGATGGGATAAAATTTCTACTTACCTTATTTTTCTCGGCATCAGCCATCTTCTTGAATCTGTTATCGTACTTGGAAACTTTCTTCAGTGTTGGTTTCACGCTTAAACATTTCTACAATTCATATCCCTATTTGGCAATAGATGTAAAAGACTACCTAATATTCAAAGTAGGACTGAAAAATTAGAAACAATTGATTTATTGCCTTTTTCACTTAGCAATCTTTTTTTGCAAAACTTCTTTTTCTGCCACTCTAAATAGCTTTGAAATACATAGGAAATTCAGATCTTTTCCGTTACTTGGTACTAGTTCCAGTGCTAGTGGAAAAGTTATTTTCTGCTGGTTTTGAAGTGTAAGTCGCCTTTTCAAAGCGGCTTTTTTATTGCGCTGAGCTGAACAAAGCTTTTCTTTCGACTTCTAGTAATCGTTCAAAAATTCGCAGATTCCAATGATTTTTTTTGGTTTTTGAGAAAAACTTCATGGTGTGGTCAAAACAAACATGTGGTTTCACAAATATGACACCGGAAAAAGCGCGGTGGCTTAGTTGCCATGTTGCAAAATCCCTATCTTCATACCAGCAAAGCACGGTGGGTTTGGTGCTAGTGTTGCGCTGAGAGAAACGTTAACATTTCTTGGATGCTACAGCACATCTTTTTTGAGAACCAAATGAATTATTGAAATTGACGAGGTTCAGGATATCGAATGGCTACTAAGAGTCTAAAGAAAGGGGTTTTTATGTTATCTGCTCTTCATTTCGACCCCTTGTAGAAAACGGCATTTCGCAGTTCATTTCCAATGTTCAAATAATCCTTCGATAGCACAAATCAAAAGAGTTCGAATGGTATATTTCAGCCTCCAAAAAGCCTTCTTATTGCGCTGAAAGAGCAATAACAAAATTTTGTTTCGCAGCAAAAGATTTCTCGCCGACCAAAGCTTTTTCTACGGAGTTTCAGGAACAAATCGATAGATCGAGTCTTAGATTTCCAAACATCAATTTAGTTTCTATAATGGGCCTGCTATTATGCTCTGACAACCAGAAGAAGATTGGATTTCGCAAAAAATGGATCACTTCAACTATCCTCTCCTCACTTCGATAAACTGGGAAAAACGTATTTTTTGATCGTTTCCAATGTTTAAATGATCTGTCGATAGCTTAAATCAAAGGAATTTCAATGGTATTTATTACTTTCAAATAGACCTCTTTAATGCGCTGAAAAAGCAAAAATGATATTTTGTCCCTCATTCAAAGATTCCTCGCTGATCAGAGCCTCTCTCTTATAGTGTCAACAACCAAATGTTAGACGAAATCTCATGAAGTCCAAAACTTCTCTGGTTTCTTGATCGACTTCTTAGTGCTTCATAAGAACCAAAAGAAATAGGGCTTCGCACTCGGGGCTTTTTTTTTCCAGTTTTGCGGAGCCCAATCTTCTTGTGGCTGTTGAAGCGTGACATGAGGTTCCTATTCAAAACCAAATACATCATTTGACTTCTCAAAATGTGGACTAAAAAAATTGTTGAAACCCCAAAGAAAAAGCTTTGGCTAGCGAGAAATCTTGGATGAGTGACAAGCAGTATTTTTTTGTTCTTTCAGCGCAGTAAAAAGGCCTTTTTGAAGATGATATACATTGCTCAAATCTTTTTAATCTAAGCAATCGAATGGTTACGTAAACACTGAAAGATATCAAAAAACACGTTTCCACCATGCATCAAATTGAGGACCGGATAATAAAAGTGATCCAGTTTTGCGAAACCCAATCTTCTTTTTGCTGTTACAGCGTAATGCAGGGTTCATTTTGAAGACCAAAAAGGAATTAGAATCCTCAAGATTTGATGTATCGTTTGATCAAGAGAACTCTAAAGGAAGAGTTTGATCATCGAAAAATCTTTGAATGAGAATCGAAATCTTATTCTTGCTCTTTTAGCGCAATAATAAGTTTTTTTCTGAAGATGGAACATATCATTCAATTTCTTTTGATTCTAGTTATTGAACGATTGCTTGAACATCTAAAACAAGCGCAAAATAAGCTTTTTTTGAAGGGTCGAAACGGAGAGCAGATAACGGAAAATACGAAAAGAGCTTCGTACAGCGAGAAATGTTCAAATGAGGAACACACTTTTATCTTTACTTCCAGAAGGCATTTAAAAAACCCGTTCCAATAATAAAATATGTCTTCAAATCTTCTCAGATTTAGCCTATCGAATGAGCACTCAGACTTTGAAAACTACCGAGGAATAACTCTTCTACGGGCGCTGGAACTGGGACCGGATAACGGAAAAGTATCGGAATTTTTTCCTAAGACCGACTACCTATTAACCTCGGCAAGCCTCAGCATTTCCTAATTTTCTTTTTAAGCCAAACACGAGGCTTTATGAGACAATCCATTTAAACAGCTATTTCGCCACCTTCGCCGGCTTTCGTTCAGGTGTTTAGGTGACTGGAATGTGGACAACTCGAGCTTTGTAGGCACCGATAAAGACGAAACTGCCAAAACATCAGCTGTTTGAGATAGATTGTATTATGAATCTCGATGCTCGGCTTAAGAAGAAAAGAAGGAATACGATATACTTTGTGTTGACCGCGATCTTATTAGTATTTTGACAATAAACAATGTCTTTTAGATAAATAAAAGAATTGAGGGGTTGTTAACGCAAAAGAATTGTGTAAGATAGTTTAGTCTCTTATGGGTATGAATGATGTGCATGAGTTACTTAATATGCTA